CAGGCCAGGGCCGTTTTGTCTATTAGTGCACTCAGGCTGTGTGTTACCTAAAATTCTGCTGCCTCCTGTTTATTACATCTGACAAAATTTTTCACCCGTGTACTAAGGTAGGAATATTTCAGCTGGTTTTGCTATGTTTGCACTGGAGCTTGAGTACTTCTTAGCTAGATTCTTTGGAGGATTAAAATATGTCAATTTTTTTTTCACACAGGAAGGCCTTTTCTCAAAAACAGTCCTAAAATCTGCATCTAAAATATTCTTTCTCTGCTCTGTTTAAATTGTCAATGAAATGGTACAGACTGGAAGGACGAGATGAGAAATAGACATGACCAGACAGAAGCAGTTGTAAGTCTTGGACTCAGACACTAAAGGCAGGAATTAACTGTCTAAACACAAGTACTTTCCATTTGAGGTGCCCTAGAGTGTCCAAAATATCCACACATATGATCTTTGCCAACAGGCTTTAAACCAGGTACGTCAGGGGATGGTGATGACAGCTTGCAGATAAGTGAGGGAAGAGCAGTTGGGGCAGTAAATACATGGGACAGGGTGACAGGAGCAAGAGAGCCCTCAGGAAAGATAAGACAGGTTAAAAGAAGGTTTGCCTCAAGTGTTGTGCACAAATGCACAGTCTGGGAAGCAAACAGGAGGAGGTGGATCTCTGTGTGCAGGTGCAGAACTGAGGCAGCATAAGAATAACTGAGATGTGGCAGGATCTCTGCATTGTAAGGAACACAAAAATTCTTTAGGAACAACAAGCAGCAAGGACAAGGAGGAGGGGTGCTGTCTGTGAGGAAGCAGCCTGGATGTATTGAGCTCGTTTGTGGAGCAGCAGGTAGGGTGATTGAGGACTTGTGAGCCATGATCAGAGGAAAAGCTGGTAAAAGCAATGCTGTAGCAGGAATCTGCTACAAATCACATAGTCAATATTGGGAAATAGATAAAGTTTTCTTTAAGCAACTCAAGAAAGTCACCAGATCACCAACCTTTCTTCATACAGATTGGCACACTAGCACTGAAAGGGTCCTGGTGGGCAGTAGTCCAAGTGCATTGGGAGATTTCAAGGAGTGTAGCCACTAGATCAAAGTGTGAAATTCTCCTCTGCCACTTTTTGGGGCTGCCTTCAGTTTTGGGCTCTCCAGCAAAAGGAAGATGCTGGTAAATGTCAGCAAGTCTAGCAGAGAGCTACCAAGATGGTCAGGAGGCTGCAGCACATGTCTTGTCAGGAGAACCTGAAGGGACTGTGCTTCTTTAGAGAGCAAGATTGTTTAGGAAAGGTGTGGGGCATCTAGTAGAAGCTTTCTGATATCCAAGAGGTAGTTTTTAAGAAGGTAAACACAATGTCTTTGCTAAGGAGCACAGTGGGTGAATGAAAGCTATAAATTGAAATAGGAAAGTTTATAGATTATAGGAAGTAAGGAAAGATTATTCCACCGTGAGAATAATTGAGCATTGAAAGAGGGGCCCAAAGAAATTATGAAATCTCCATCCTTGAAGGTTTTGAAGACCCTCTGGACCCTGCAAAGTCAGAGCAACATCCTCTGAAGGCTGTGCTGATCCTTTTTTCAGCAGGGTGTTGGACTGAAGACCTCTTGAGGTTCCTTCCAGCTGGAAAGACGTACAGTTCTATTATATATGGTATATATGTATATGGTGCAGAAACCATAGGAGACACTAGACCTTCTGGTGCTCTTCTGGTGAATATATGGTATAGGGAAAACCCAAAGGCATGTCATATGGCTTTAAGGATTGTGTTCAGGTGAAAGAAGGTCTGTTTGACTTTGAAAAAAAGCTAGATTACATGCTTATCTTCCCACAAGAAGTGAAGTTTACACAGAGGAGTATATGCCTTCCTCTTCTTTTTCCATCTTTTTTTCTCTTTTTATCTGTTTTATAATTTTAGATTTAATTTCAGGGAAGTTTTTCATTATGGTCTTTTGACCAGATGCAAAGACTTTTCTGGCAATTTCCAACAAGAAAATTGTCTTTTCAAAATGCTGTTCAAATTAAGGAACATATTTCATGGTAATATCAGGACATTCCTGATTAATTTCAAGTCTGTACAATAACAGACACCACTGAGGCTAAAAATGGAGAGAAGAGTAAAATGGACTTAAAATGTTCAATCCTATAAGTTATAATCCAATGGAAAATATAGTCTAATTTATGATACTACTGCAAACAGCTCACACTCAAATGTTCATTCTTCTTTAATTTAAATGCTATTGGGCATGTGGTCATATGTTGCTACATTAAAGATGTGTCTGATACATTTTCCTTGCTTCAGGTCTTGTCCAGGTTGAGATTTCATGTTCACATCCCAGTATATACAAGTGAGATGGGTAATTACTTCCAAATTATTTTTGTAATTTATGAAAATATAAAGGTGATAAAATACAGAGCAGGGATTTTCTAACTTCAACAAATTTAAACAGCTCAGAGCAGATCAAGTTTTGTTATTGCTATATATATATTATGCTCTAGTCCTGCCTGTTAAATTCAAACCAAGTGGAAGGAAAGGATGAATTTGCATATCCATTTCCATTCAGGTTATGGACTTTTAAATCCATGTTTCTTGTGTCTATAGACTAATGAGTGCATCTTTATAGAGGAGGCTTAGTATGTCAATGCATTTGGAATGTCCAGAGTTTTGTTCAGCATATAATATTTTGAGAGCCATTTTTTTCAAGCATAGTGTAATAGGCTTTAACTTTGCTAAGCTTTTCTGCCAGGCCTCCAGTGCCCTGCTGTTCTATTATATTGAACTTGTAAGCAGGATGCTCTGCCAGGCTCACCCAGATTACTGCTGCAATAAGGGCCCTGCTGAGTGACTAGTGTCATGATAAGTGCTAGGGAGGGAGTTCACCATCTTGGCATACTGTTCTCATCTTATTAAATTCAGCTTTGTGGAAGCAGGGAGCCTGCCTCTCGGCCTCACTGGCTCTGGCTCAGTCCAACTGCTACTGTCAGACAATATGAAAATAGGAACCACCACAGCTAATGGCAGGTGCTGCACCACCATAGCTGAGGTAAAAAAAAAAAAAAAAAAAAAAAAAAAAATTTTTTTTTTTTTTTTTTTTTTTTTNTTATTAAATTCAGCTTTGTGGAAGCAGGGAGCCTGCCTCTCGGCCTCACTGGCTCTGGCTCAGTCCAACTGCTACTGTCAGACAATATGAAAATAAAAAACACCAAAAAAAAAAAAAAGAGATAAAAAAACAAAGCTGAGTTAAAAAAAAAAAAAAAAAAAAAAAAATTCTTTTTTTCTTTTTCCTTTTTTTTTAATAGGCACTTGAACTGGATTGATTTGGAAACATTTAGCTATTTAATATAGCCTCAACAAATATTTGTTGAGATACTGTTCTTTTTGAATATTTTCTGTCTACTTTATATAGATTCCTTTGTTCTTGCTTGCTTACTTACATTAAATGTAATGTAGCAAAACCCCTGGAACAGGTCTGATATCATTCAGATTTAGCAAAGGATGGTATTGTAAAGATATGGTCCTGACATCCCTATTCAGACAAAATTCCCTACTGCGTCCTGCCTGAGAAAAAATTCCCAAATTCCAGTCTTGGATTACTGCTGGAGGTGAAGTGAGTTAGCTGTTCATCCCCCCTAAACTCAGTAACCCCTTCTTGCCTAATTCTCAAATTTCTCTTAAAAATATAACCATTCGTTTTGGGTGGAAGATTCAGAAACTTCCCAATGCCCTGAAATGACCAGCTGTGATTTGAGTATAAACTATGCTCCTGAATGCAGCAGGAAAAGTGCAACATTCATAGAGAGGAGAGAGGAAACAAGGGAATATATGTTTGCAAGCCATACCCATGGAGAGAAAGAAAATTAAAATCACTCATTTTGTAGTATGAATTGCAGTAAAGCACACCTTAGTTCTGAATCAGAGGGTATTTGGCCATCTGTTTTTGAGCCTAAGGCTCTTTTAAAAAAGAGTTTTCCAAGGGCTTGTGGAAGGATAGATAAATTACTTCTGCATCTGCTGGTGTCTGAGCACATACAGACTCTTGACATCAGCAAACATGTTGTTTCTCACTGTTCAACAATAAATGTTCAAATAACCCCATCATTGTCACTTCAGCATTTTGTAAATTGAACATGAACAACAGATGCAGTAACCTTTCTGACAGAAATATCGACAAGGTCTAGCTACAGAAGTCACCTTATAGCAAAACCAAGTTGGGATCAATAGAAAATCCAGGTTTTCAACTGAATTTGTGGCAGGAGTTGCTAAGTCTGGCAGGTTGCATTTCAGCAGCACACTTGTTGGCGATGTCAGTCTTCATAAGAGTGACAGGTTTGATTAGACTCTTTGAGAGAGGCTGACTCAAAAATTCAGACAAAATAACCTCTTTCTGCCAATTTGCAATATCACATTCACAATCCATTCCAGACTCATCAAAGCTAAGGAATAAAGGACTTAATAATTTAATCCCCCCTGAGAAAATGAATAAGAGAATTATGTCTCGTAAAAGTGTGATTTTTTTTTTTACTTGAAAAAGAAGAGTGGAGAACTATTGGTGGAACTGATTACCATGAATGTTGTGTGTCAGACCTTTCAAACACCAGGGAATTTGCATGTAAGAGAATTCTTATCAAAATTCAAGGGCAAATGAAAGGATAAAGCAAATCTATATGATCGTGTTCATATGTAAGGCAAATCTAATTTGTTAACACTTGTTTTTCATTTCTATATCACATTCAAAGCTGTAATTTTTAAAGATTTTCAAATCTTCTTTCTGAATCACAGTTTTTTCCTTTTTTAGAAAATTCCTTGGTCTTTCTTGTTATCCTGATTCACTGTGCTGTAACTGGGGTGAGCATGGGTGGAGTGGATTTTTTCTTGCTCTGATCACTGTGTGATCCACACAAAGTAAATTGTCAAGAAAAAAAATTATTCATTTAGAAGAGGTTTGAACCTTAACTTTCCTCTTTTTTTCCATCTCTTTTACTATAGCCTTAAAAAGTTCCGTTGAAATTTAGAACACTGCAGCTAGTGAGTGAACTACAGTGGAACAGCTGCTGGAAACTGTCCAGTAGAAGTGTAACCAAGAGGTAAGTAGAGAATGCTAACAATCTGAAGTTTTGCATTGCATGAAATTGGTTTTATTTTGTTTTAAGTTGAGAAAAAAACAAGATCTCAAACTTAGATCTTTGCTACTGAATCCAGTCTTGGAATCAATAAATGTGGGATGATTCTGGAAGTATTTTATGAGGAATGCGTGGAATCTACTCCATCTTAGAAATTACATTGATTTCTGGCCATTGTGCTTGACAACATGGAACAAAGAAAGTGTTTGTTGCTGCAAATCAAACAGATTTATTTTTGGTTTTCATGCTGTAATTTAAGTGATTCAGTGGGGAGTTTCTCCTCTGTCATATTGTGAGGGATTAAATGGCCTTGGGACATGACCTCTCTTTGAGGCAGAACATCAATTCAGGATTCAGTTTTTCATATTTTTCTTCATTTTAATATGGAAGAAGAATGCCTCTGAGATATTCCAACTGAAAAGCAACATTGTAACATATCAGAGCTGGAACCACTCTTCTCTGCAGTAAATCTGGACCTTGCAACTCATTTCCACCCTCAGTGATTTAGCAGCTAAAGAGTTTAGTACTTTTAAATTACATCAATCAAGTGGGCAGGGCATTAAGGTGGGCTGATAAAAAAATTCACACTGGTCTTCCATTCATCACATAAAAGTAACATGGAGCACTTTACCAAAGACAAGACCTTATCATCACTCTTCAGGCATCCTTTGTTCTGGTTAGCTGACAAACTTTTTGCAAAAGGCTTTTGCCAAGTACATCAGATATACACCAGCTGTGTAAACCCAGGCTTGTCTGTAGTATATTGGGAGAAGTTACAAACATAAAAATCTGAACAATGAGCCAATCATGTAATTTTTTTTAATTAAGTCAATTAATTTTTTAAGTAAGTCAAGTAATTTGTGTTTGGGGGTTTATTTATTTATTTATTTATTTATTTATTTATTTATAACTGTATGAGAAAAGCATTTTTGATTTGACAGTCTGGAGATAAATATACCCTTGCAATGTTTGTAGTAGAGACACTGAATTGTCATGCTAATGCAGAAGAGTAAAAGAGAAAAAAAAAATTATCTATTTTCACTTTCTATTTTGAATGAAATGTGAAAAATAAACAAACAGCACAGATGGTGAAACTGTTTAATTTTTTAATACTCTCCCAGTGTTAATCATTTCCAACACTTAAAACAGCATGATAGCAACATATATTAAAATATGTTATTTTATTTAAATAAAAGCTTATTAAGCAGATGAGCAATTCACTATTTTCAGCAAAGTCAAATCTAAAAAAATATTTTTTGGCACATAATCAGTTTAATTTTTGCTGCATGAATATTAGACAATATGTTCAAATGCTGAATCTGGCAGAATCTTATTGCTGTCTACTGTGGATAGCATAGCTGAAAACTTGTAGTTCAGTATGTTCATTTCTTTTTCTTTATTAATTTGCCAAGTAAGTGTAGACAAGCAGAACTAGAATTCTCAGTAAGTCTCTTCATTGTTTTTCAGTATTCTCACAAATGGAACACAAATTTTGGAGAGAATCCCAAATGGCAGGTGCTGACACTAAGTAGAGACAGGAACAGCCTTCTTGTTAACATATTATCTACTCCTCACCTACCACTGCTCTGTTACAAAACTCATTGACAATGAAAGCTAAATGAAGTAACTGAAAACTAATTCAGTACTGTTACAAATATTTCAGATAGCTTTCTGCAGCTTGGGAGCAAACAAGCAAAGAAATCTTCTCTATGCCTAGCCCTGTTGGATAATATCCAAGCTGCTATATTTAAAGCAAATTTAAAGCATTCTTTGCAAAAGGTGGTGTCCTGGAGTGCTGAACTGGGGAAACAGAAAGACAGATGGAGGAAATCAAATTAATCAGGTACTGCTGCTTGCAAAAGGAATTGAATGAGGTGGACAAGTAGTTGATATGACCTTAGTAGAACTATTTTGCTGTGTAACAGAGTCATTAATAAATTTTGTAATGTTAGGGTTCTATATGTTAAAATTTATCTAAGTAGTCTCATCGCAATATAATCTCTAATTTATTTATTTTCAAAAGTTAGAAGGAATATATTAGTTTATGCAGTGTTGCAAGTAGTTTAGGTGATGATATTTATTTATATTTAAACTTTTCACTGTTCTTCCCCTCCTCCTGTCAAATTCCAGAGTGTGCCCATTGTTGTCATAGTCTGAAGAGCCAAAGAGCTTTTAATGCATAATATCAAAGACAGCTATGTGGCAGTGACTTTTAAGATATCTGAAGGATATCTTTTTATTTAGGGGTCTCCATGAATGTTCATTCTGATACGTTACCGATTGTGCTGTCAGTTCACAGAACTTTCTTTTTTATTTTCTCCTTTAACTTGAGGATTAAATTTCAATATTAGTCTGAAGAAGGTAATGTCTCAGTGTTCATAACCCTTTTTGGAGCTATAACCCTCTGGTAGATACCTTGTGAGTTTTGCTGGGTAAATACAAAACTGCAGTATTAGCTTGCTTCTAGGCAACTGAAATAGGGAGGAGAGGGTGCTTGTACCCCCTTAGGGGTAGGCACATACTGCACTGCCAAGATTTTCCAAAATAGTGGCTGAAGGTGTTTTGGCTGGTGGGTGCCACAGCTGAGATAGCTTATAAAGAGCCTGATTTTTGGAAAATAGCCTTTGAAACTAGGTCTTTAACAACAAGGCTCTAACACTCTCAGATTTCTGGCGGTGTACTGCCTTGTTTTCCTCCTTAATTTTTGTAGCCCTCACTGTGGTCCATCTCTGGTGACTATCACAAAGGCCATCTACATTGAATGTTAATTTAAGTGCTACTCGCACTCACATCCTTTACATAGCAGCCACAAGAGGGGGATGTGGAACATTCACAGAATATTAGGGTTTAGTCCTCTCAGTTTTCAGTGTTATCAATACTTTCTCTGATTTTTACCACTTTTAGCAGCTGGCTTATTTTTCTGGAGATCACGGCTTGCAACAGTTTATTTTAGTTACGAGAAACCTTTAGAGAGGGTTCAGATGGAAATATTATGTCGCCTAAATTTGACCCTCTTTTGCTCTTCAATAGAACAGTTACAGCTGTGTAACACTTTCAGAGAGCTATGCAGCTATCTCAGCACAGAAAAAGGGGTTAATGGAACAACATGGTTTTTATTCCAATAAACAAATTCTAATTGATACATAGATTGTAATCACAGGAAACTTTTTTTACAGCAGCTGTGCTGTAATGGGCTATTTTAGGGGCAGAGTAGTACATACTGTATAAAATTTGTACATGAGGGCAAAAGGAATAGACAATTGCTTTTGGGGACTGTGTAGATTAGTACATTATTGCATACTAACAAAGTGCTAATTGCTCCTTTTGACCACGGGCCCAGTTTACAGAGCTTTAGCACAAATGTGTCCTGTACACTAAATTATAAAACTAACACTGCATTATTTCTCTCTACAGCTTGAAAATTCTTGCAAATTGCCCAGGTTGCAAATCCTGCATTTGTTTTGTGGCAGTTATAGTGAAAGCAAACAGTTTAATTATATTTATATAATTTTAAGATTGTTTTAATACAATCTTGTATACAATCTTTAATACAATAACTTGTGCATAGCTACACAAGTTATTTATGTTAGTCTACTTAGTATTTTAGTACTTAACGAAAAACAAATAGGTGTGAACTACTTTGAACAGGTTGTTGGTACTGATTTTATAGAACTTTTTAAATAGCAGCTGTTTAGAATAATTGCCAAGTAATTAATGATCATTTAATAACTGGGAAAAACAAAACCATGCAGAACAATCTCTCTTCTTTATCTTCATTGGAATCACACTCAGAATGTTAAATGTTTTAGTTCAGAAATATAATATCTCATCTCTCTGCAACTTTTGTAGAAGTCCAGAATTATTTGCTCCCAGAGTCTTTCCACCCCTCTAACAGGATAGAAAGAAGCATTGCAACGAGACACATGCAGAGTCAATAGGAGACCTAATTTTCTTGGAAAGGCATAAATCTACAGTTGTCACTTTCATTCTGCTGCACATCATTTAAGCCTTTTGTGTACAAGTTCTTGATTTCGTTTTACGGCTAGCAGGGAAATTTGAAGATTGGGCTTATTTCACATATCTCGTTTGGTCCCTCTTGTCTTTTCATGCAAGAATTCATATTGGTCTGACACTCTCTGTATATAAGCAGCCTGGCACTAAGTGAATTTAACATTTACTGTAATTTAATTCTAGCTCTGCAGATTGTTCATTTTGGATCTTAAGAACTGAGTACTAGGAACTGAACCTGAGACTTCAGTCATGTGCTGTAGTATTAGAGGTTAGAGCATGCATCAAAGTATTTTACTAAGGAAGAGGTAAGGTAAAAGAAAAGAAGGTAAGGGAAAAGATACTGTAGGGAATAATCCAATTTTGTGAAAAAAAACAGACTAAAGTATTTCATAGGTTTTCCTTTCACACATTCCTAAAAAAATGTGAATACTGAATAACATGAATTCTACTCTCTAGTCTATTTTTATAATAAACAAGATGATTAAAAAAAAAAGACTAACTGAAAAGGACAGGTATGTGTCACCATGAGGGCACTCTGTGTCACAAAGCAAATATGCTTTAGTTCCAGCCAAAACAACCACCCACTCAGGGGTACTGAAGGGTAGGCATGCTGTTATGACCCAGATTCAAATGGTGAAAGTAGGAGTGAGAAAATGAAAGTGTTAATAATATTTCAAGTACAGAGAGAATGGGAGGAGAATTTCTGGGATTTCCCTTTCACTCCTATTCTCTCTCAAAAGGAAATCATGGACTTCCCTCAAAAAAAAAAAAAAAAAAAAAAAAAAAAAAAAAAAAAAAAAAAAAAAAAAAAAAAAAAAAAAAAAAGTCTCTTCGGCTTGTCACCCAATGTTGAATATTTTGACTGAATAGTATGTGGCAGAACTGTGCACCTGTTCTGGCTGGAAATATATGTGTGAATACTGAAGAAGAATAGATTAATTGAGAAGTATAAA